CAAAGGTCAAAGGTCAAAAAAACATCGAAAACTATTTTTTGGAAAAAGAGGTTTTTCGATGGTTTTCGAGCGTGAGAGTTGAAAGATCAGGACTATTTGTTCGTGATGTGGCGGGAGGTGGTGAAGAAGTGTTAAATGTTATAAAAATGTCGAAAGTGAAGTTCTGACGGTTTTCATTTGCTTTTTCAGTGAACTTGTAGAAAATGGAGCTTTACGAAAAAGAGCTAAGAGGGTCCTGTGATGGGCGGTGCTTGTTGATCGATCAGAATGCGAAGGTTATAAAATGGGCCAATGAATATTCGAAGGTCTGAAAACCTTGAGAGTGTTGGCATTCAGGATAGCGTGATCTAGGTCGGAGCGTGGGTGTGAGTGTAGTATATGTGAGCGAAGTATGCGTGGGATGGTCGTGGTTATCAATAAAGATATAACCACACCCTTACTCAAACTACACGTAGCCCCTAACCCTCTATGCCTACCGTGCCGCCCTCTCCCGCATACCGAGAGAGGCCGCGCCGGAGGCAACCCTATACGTTCAACCATCTACATCTAAACGCACCCACATAGCTACACCCCACTCAAACTACACGCATACCCTAAGCCGCCATGCCGACGGTGGCCCTTCCTCACATATCCAGAGGGCGGCGCCAAAGGCCACACTACACAAGGACCCACCCACCTATACGTAAGCGCACTGACACAGCTACACCCCACTCAAACCACACGTACACCGTACCCGCCATGCGCAAGTTGGCCTTCCATCACATATCCAGAGGAGCCGCGCCGAAGGCCACCCTACACCAAGACCCACTCACACCCACACCCACCCACACCCGCTCCCTCCCACACCCCCACACCCACCCACACCCTCACCCCACACAGACACCAACCAAGACCCACTCACACCCGCACCCACCCACACCCACCCACACCTACACCCTCACCCCACACCAACATCAACCAGGACCCACTCACACCGGCACCCACCCACACCCACCCTCAGCCTCACCCCACACCAACACCCACCGACACCCACACCCAGCCACCCACAATTACAAGCTATTGTTGTTGGTTTTCTTGCTATGGAATGGGTACCTCAAGTATATTTTAATCGACGACATACACTTGTTTTATGTAGTAGTAGTGTTTCAACAGCATCAATTACTTCATTAGCATTAGGTTTGTAACGAATATTTTGAAATATCTCATATTTTGTTGCACATAAGACTGTATAAACAATCTATTTTAAAAATTAATAGAGATAGTACTGTCAACTCACTTTATTCAATATTTAACAACTGTTTCTTAGTTATCTTGATGAGTTCTCTTCCTCTCGCACACAATTAATTGTTTATTTCTTTAGGTGGAACCATGATGTTTTTTATTGTCATTTCACATAAATGCAAAATCAATCGTGATAATATTGCTATTGCTACACCAATAGCTACTTCACTCGATGACTTAACAATACTTGGTATTTTAGTATCGATGGATTTTCATATTCATATGAATACAATTTATAATTTATTTGAACTATCAAACAAGATATTCTTGATGATTTTATTTTATGTTAAATATTAATTTTATCTTTGTTTTCTTATATTAAAAATAAAAATACAATCATGTAAAATTTGATAAAGAATTGGAAAATAATACTGATGATTGTCTTATATTGTATATATGTATATATTATTTCATAATATAATATGTTTTTATTCTTTTATATAATATATGTATATATGAGTGAATTGCAACTTTTTGGTACAATTAGATTTTTGATGTATTTCGCTAATAACTCCAGTTTGCGCCAGCCGATTTCAACGATTTTTTGATATGTTATAGTGCTTGGAACACCTCACTGCCGTGCAAAATTTCAGCTCAGTAGCTCATGTTATTGCTGAGTTATAAAAAATTTATGATGAAAAAATGTCATTTTTTCATGACATATGCTAAGAAAAGGAAATTTTTCGACTATAAAGAGGCAAGAGGAAAAGGAGATAATTAATCTATTTTGTACAGTTTTTGACGCTCTATCGAAATATGTAACTAGTTTTAGTTTGAATTTCCATTGGTTCGTTCATCTACTGGTCACATTGTTTAACAGACACTTGTTCGTTTTTATGTAGAGTGACACAAACACAGTTCTAGCTCAGCCTATGATAGAGCTGGCAGCGCGCGGATGATATAAAAAGAAAGCCAACACTTTAACTAGAAAACTGATGTAAAAAGGTTCTCTCTTATCAAGTTTATTTCAAACAAAAAAAACGAACTTTCGAAAAAAAAAAGATATTTACTCACTTTGTAGAGTGACAATTTGAAAATTGTCTGATTCATAACTCTTGAACGGGTCGTCCGATTTAGCTCAAATTTTTAGAGAATGTGTAAAACAAAAAGTTCTATTAGTGGTAAAAATTTCAGCATTTGATCTCTTACCGTTCAAGAGAAATTTACATTATACTGAAAAATGTAGAGTGACGTTTTTTTCGAAAATTATGTAGAGTGACGATTTTTGCAAATTGTCTGCTTTATAACTTTCGAACGGGTCGTCAGATTTAGTTGAAATTTTTAGAGAATATATAAAACAAAAAGTTCTATTAGTGGTAAAAATTTCAGCCTTTGATCTCGTACCCTTCTCGAGAAATTTACATTATACTGGAAAAAAATGTAGAGTGACGGTGTTTTTGAAAATTGTCTTATTTATAACTCGTGAACGGGTCGTCAGATTTAGCTCAAATTTTTAGAGAATGTATAAAACAAAAAGTTCTATTAGTGGTAAAAATTTCAGCCTTGGATCTCGTACCCTTCTCGAGAAATTTACATTATACTGAAAAATGTAGAGTGACGTTTTTCAATAAAATAACGCTTTTTATGGTACATTTACATTGAGTAAGTCGTATCTCAGTTAATATGCGGTAAAGTGTTGGGAAATTTTTTGTGCATAATACAGGCATATAGTATAGCAAAATGTACTACTCAAAAGTTGCTTAGAACCACTTTCATTTTTTCGCACCAATTGTACCAAAAAGTTGCAATTCACTCATATATATGTATGTATATGTTATTTATCTTGAAATAAATTTTAGTTTTTACATGTCATATATAAGAATTTGATGAAGTTAAATGTAATTGAAATAGATGTTTATATCAAGTTACATATATTTTAAATAAAACATTGATATAAACTCTCTCAATGTATAGTTTTATTTTTCTTGAACAAAAAAAAAGAATTCTATATATTATAGTAATTCTCGTTTGTTTCTCATATGTGTTTGGCTTAGAATTTCGTCATATTATTTGAGTTAAAATAATGATGCTAATACAAAGAAATAGTAGAAGAAAAATATAAAATAACTTTATATAAAAATATTCTTTCATTTTGTATTGCTGCAGTCTCTTTCATTTATATAGACATAGTACATATATGTGTATATGTATATTGGTATTTATAATAAGATATATTATCATTTAAAAATTCGTTTTGCCTTTACCTTTACTTTCGAATATAAATAAAATGAAATCTAATGTAAAATGCAAATATCGTTTATAGAACTGAAGTCTATCGAATCAGCATGTGTTTTATTATTGTCGCTTGTTGATGATCATAAATAATAGAGAAATGGTATTTATAAAGAAGAAAAAAACATGTCTAGATATGTGATTTATCAAATAGTTTATCTATATACATAGATGCAACATATATGATGATCTAGGAAAATAAAATAATATTATAGTATAGAAGAAATCAAGTAAGAAGAAGGTAACGATAAGGAATGCAATGACAATAATTGAGAAATTTAAGAAACAAAAAGATATTTTGCTCATTGCACATTGTATATTTGCACATGTATATAACATTATATAGATAGATTAAAAAATAGATTAAAACATTTCTGTTTATTACAAATGGTTAATCATCATCAAACTTAGATATTTAAATTCAAAGTTGAATAATTCATCAGAATATCAATTGGAATTGGAAGGATATTATAAAAAATAAAATATCTAACCAAAAGCAAATATCTACGTCAGTATACATTGTATATATATATATATAATAATAATAATAATAATAATAACGTCCCATAGGCTTATCGCCCTTAGGGGCCGGCCGCGGTTATTATTAGAGTTTTCCACATGCAGCCGGGTTCTGTCGTCTTTTTCTTTTTACAGACGGCGGTATCTGCACCCTCTTCCGTCCAACATACTGACTAAAGGTAACCAGTATGAATGACTCATGTGGAATGAGTCATTTGAGACAACTTAGCCGTTAGTGACTTGTCCAGGGTCATTCCATGGATGATGTTACTGAGGTTTGAACACAGTACCTTGTGGATACGTGTCGAACAACGTAACCACTCAACCATGGCGGCATATATATATATGCATATGTGTATTCGATCACACTAATAGATGAGAAAATTTCTTTCTATTGAGAATGTCTTATCGTGATGAAATTCCAATATTTAAATGCGCAATAGATTCTGCTATTAGCACTGCAACCTGAGTCGGCAAGATAATAAAGAAGATAAAAAATTTTAAGGGAAAAATAAATATTTCCGTAATTACAAATTGTGCGTATGTATACATATATGTGAGATAATATTTAGAGACGAGACTATTTTCCTATTCGAGAGATGTTCCACCGTGGTGAAAACTATGGATTTCGATTGACAATTGAATTTGTTGCGTGGACTTAAAGTGAAAAGTAAAGGATATTATCAATAGAAACGTTGAAAAGAGAAACAAATAAGACTTTTGGTACATTTTATAAAATATTTTTTGTTGATGTCTCATTTCAGATTTATTCATAATTGGAATTTAGTCGTATTATCAATTATGACTGTCGAATGTATTTTTTGTTCTACGCAGTGCGTCAATCATTGTTGTCCTAGTTGTGATAGAATGGCTCGTCCTCAGAAGTTCGGACGTTTACTTCAGGTTCTGGAGCGGTGTTCTGAAAGTATCGTTTATCACGATGAGATTGTGAATGCTGTACAACGAATTCGACGAGTACGTACATATTCGTATGGTATCAAATGTATTTTGTACTGTTTAGATGGAATCGCTTATGTCACCATTGGAGTTTCGTCCTTATGGGGTGTTCGATGGTAGAATCCATGTGGTGGATTTGATTGCAAAGGAATATCTTGAAAAAGCATCGGCGGACGCACAGCATCTTATTCCAGTCGACGTTGATGCTGATGGAAATGGTTTATATCATTCTGTAATTCTTTTGATGAATGACTCAACACTAACTGCAAGTGAATTACGAGGTTTGTAGAGGTTTTTGACATGTGTGTTTTGATAGTAGGAAAAGTTTGGTAATTTTTTAGTTCGCACGATTATTGAACTCGTAATAAATGAAGCGTTTTATTCCAATATGTATACGCATCGGGCCGGGCTTATTGATATAGCTATTAAAGCTATATGCAAAAATCGAACATATTCGGGATTGTACGAAATTTGTGCTTTATGTAGTGTACTCAAATGCAATATACGAAGTGTCTATCCAGAAATTGACTTTAGAGCTGGCATGGCTGTGATGAATAGTATGTATACACCTATTTCACCGATCGTTGCTAATTATGAAGTTGCAACTTTGTGGTCGAATATGCTGAAAGAAATGCATGTGCGAGCGGCCAATAATAATCTATGGAGTTCGAATCATTTTGTGCCTCTCTTAGCACTAAATCAGCAATATGATTTTGATCATAGGAATCAATTATTATTATCAAATGTCAAAGTAAGCGATTACACCTTAAATGAATGTTCTAATAATTTTCATTTTCGAAACTATTTTCCTTAAGACTCCTGAAAAGAAAACATTTAAGAACAATACAGTCGCTCAAATACGCATGCCTGAATTTGAGTCTTCTTTCAACAGACGTGTACGTAGCGATATCAATATTGAAAGTGAACGCACTAAAGCAATCAGTCCGATTACAATCGAACAGGCTCAGGCGAACATAGAAGAAGAACATGAAAACCGACTTTCTCTTTTGAGAGAACGTGCGCGTCTGAGACGAGTTAATCAGACGGAGGAACAACGTCAAAATCGACTTGCGAAAGACAGAGAACGAACTCGATCTAGACGGGAAAGTCAGGCTGAGGAGCAACGACAAGATCGACTTGCGAAAGATAGAGAACGAGCTCGATCCAGACGAGAAAGTGATCCTAAAGAACAACGGCAAGATAGACTTGCAAAAGATAAAGAACGAGCTCGATCCAGTCGAGACAGTCAAACTGAAGAACAACGGCAACGTCGACTCGAGCAAAAGAAAGAACATGCACGATCTGTACGGCAGAATGAAACAGATGATCAATATCAGTTAAGGATCAATTATCAAAGGGGTCGAAGTCAGGCCAATAGAACCGAAAAAAGACTAGAAAAACAAACATCTGATAACATCATTATTCAACAGCAGAACATCAATATGACAAAGAAAAAAAAAAGTCAAATTCATTCGACTTGGCCAGCGCCAATTCCTACTGACTTGAAAAAAGAATGTTTGCAACAATTTCTTTCTCAGATGTCTATGTCCGTATTGGCTGAAGTGACTTGTGCGGTCTGCAATATTCGTACTCCAGAACAGGAGTCAATAAAAATGCCAATGTCAGAAATTCCTAATATACATCTACTCAAAATTTCTGATGAACTTAAAAATTTAGTCATTAATACTCAATCATCTACTTCGAAAAACTCTAACGGTAATTTAATACGGATAACAAAAAACATTCAAGATTATATATGCAATCCTGATTTTATTTTAGGTTCTTCAACTTCAAAGTCGTCTTATTTCTATTACGCAAATGATATTATTCTCTATGTCAATGGCATATATCAAGAAAATAATATGAATATGTGTATTCTTTGTCAAAAATGCAGTAATGGTTTATCGAAAGAACAGATTCCTAA